GGGTGATTTTTCTGTACTTTTACCTCCTTGTGATACCCTTTTCTTGTAGTAAGATGAAGTAAAAGACCTGTTTTAGTACTATTGTTGGTAATTGTTTAGTTCGTATGGTTGTTTTTTGTGCGTCTGGGCATTTGGCTCTGTGCTGCAAGAATTTATAGAAAATGTTATGCTTTTTTGACTGTCTTTTGTACTGTTGCAGGTATTTAATGTAGCACATTTGATGATGTTAGTTGATGAGAACACTGATAGCTTTTTGAGCTATTACTGTTTGTGGGTTTATTTTGAGGTGTTTTATAGTACTTTTGGTTACTTGCTGGAGTACTTTTTCTTCCATTTGACGCTGGTTTCGTGGGTACTTGTGGTATTTTGTTGTACTTAATGTCTCTTCATTAGGGTCCATTTGTTCCTAAGGAAAAATGAGAGTCATTACAGAGATATAAGAGTTTGACACACCGAGAAAACTGCTGCAGCTGGGATATGTTGTCCATGCTTTTGGGAGGGGGGACCCTCGTCTATATTAAGCACTGTTTTTTGTTGGTTTTTTTTCTGTGGGGGTGGGGGGGCTGATGTCTGTCATGATGTTGAGGTTTATCCCTCCGCCTTCGACAGGCCAAACAGCGCTGCCAAGAATGAGCTACATGATTCCACACGTCCAGCATGTTGGCCTCTCTGCAGGCTTTTCCCATACTGATCTGCATGAACAAACAGCCCAAAGAAAACCTCAACAAGATGATGGACTGGATGTACTTGAACACAATGACATGCTTGGAAAAATCCAAACCTTACAAAAAAAAAAAAACCTAAAAAAGAAAACATTTGTCTAGTGATTGGGCACATGCCGTTCCTTGCAGGAGGCTTTAATGCCTAATTAGACTTGATTGTTCCACTGAGCTTCTGCACAGAGAGTTAATCAGCTAAAACAACAGTTCAGAAGCAGAAAAATGCTCCTCTGCTGGAATTTATCACTTCAAACTGCTCAATTTGGCTCCACATTAACCTATAGTCACTTCTATGAAAGGATGTGTGTTCCAGCAGCAGCTGATTTAACCTTCCTCTATTTAAGGCTGACTAACCTCTCACATAAACATCACAGAGCCTCAGTGGATGGCTTCAGCTGATAGAGATACTTGGATCATAAAAGTTAGGAGCACAATTTACAGATCACAGTGTTTTTTATGAAAGGTTTGAGGCAATAAATCTTCGTTAAAGACCTACAAAGTCAA